TTAGACAATGGACGACCGATGGGTACGGAATGGCTAGAGAAATCTACCGGACACTTCCAGGTGGCAGCCCATACAGTCGCCTCGGTAGGACCGAAAACATTAATAACGCTCGTGTGATTGGAGGCATTTTTTAGTAAAGATAATGTCAGCACTTCGCCACCAAAACACATTGCCTGCATACTCTTTAAGTCAGACAGATTTTTTGTGTTCCGTAATGCTGATGGTGTAATATGTGCATGGGTAATCTCTTCAGTTCTAATGTATCTAAGGAGATTGGTATCCGAACGTCGTACTTCTTCGCTTGGTACACAAAGGCAAGCTCCACTCGTTATAGTCACTACAATATCCACAATACTGGCATCAAACGAGTAAGAGGGAAACAACATAAAACGGCTATTGGAAGTTACTCCCAAACGCGGTGGCACAGCTCGAGCTAGATTGATGACAGTGTGGTGCTCAACCATTACTCCCTTCGGTGTTCCAGTCGAGCCGGAGGTGTAAATCATGTAGGCTAAATGGTTCGAAGTGAGTCCCACTTTGATTGGATCTGGGTTATCAGTCGAAAGGTGTTGTTCAGGTAATGTTTCATCCAAATTGAACATTGGCACCTGATGGTCGCCAAGTGTTTTTTGACTAGTGGAATCTGTCAACAGAAAGACTGGATTCGCATCATGCAGAATATTCTTTAGCCGTTGACTCGAGTAGACTGGATCGAGTGGTACATAGGCACCACCGGATTTTAGAATTCCCAAGAAGGCAACAAGCAATTTTGTACTACGTCTTATGCAGAGCGCAACACGTTGTTCTGGTTTCACACCTTGTGCAATCAAATAATGTGCCAGTCGATTAGATTGCGCATTGAGTTCTGCATAGCTAAAAGCTTCATTCTCACACTCCACGGCAATAGCTTGTCCGTCACGTTTTACTTGGGCTTCAAATAACTGATGGAGACAGTGAACAGGTTGAAAATTAACTGTCGTTTGATTCCAGTTGTGCAATAGCATCTCACGCTCTTCCGGTGGCATCACGGTCAATGATCTTACTGGTTGTTGTGGAATGTGTATCAATGCATCGGCAAGTGAGACAAGAGCCTGTTGCATATAAGCACAGATCCGTGCTGCTGATATTGACGACACCACTTGTGCTGTTAAACTCAATAAATTGTCGTCGTCGTCTATTGACAAAATTAATGGGTAATTTGTTCGTCCTTCACTACTAAAGATACTCATCCCAGGAATCGATGCAATGATCTGATTGGTTTGCTCTTTGCGGCGGAAATTTAGCAGCGCACTGAAAAGAGGCAGAGCAGGTGACACTCCACTACAACGTTGCGCTAATGCCAGCGATGCGTGTTCATGTTCTAGCAAAGCACTCAACCGAGCATGAGTTTGGTACACAGCATTTTCTACGCTCGTCTCATCGATATTCAGCCTCAATGGTAATGTATTAATAGACATACCTAGGGCACTGCCGTTCGTTTCTCCGGCTTGAAAACGGCCAAGTAGCACGGTGCCGAAGACCACCATCTCATTTCCGCTGGCACAGGCTAGTACCTGTGCCCAGGCCAAATGACAAAGACTGGCCAAACTTATCCGTAAACGCAATGCATGCTGCCGTAACCGATCATTGAGATCCTGTTGTATTTTTAGGTGTGCTTTATTAATCTTCGATCCGTCATCATGAACATCGCTCAGACCAAACGGTAAGGTCGGTGTATCAACTTCGGCAAGCATTTCACTAAAGAACTCTATGTGTGCGGTTGGTCTAGCTCCCAAACGAGCTTGTGCCACTACATGACGGAATGGTGTGGGCGTTGACAAGTCCTCTCTTTGTCCGTTGATTATAGCGTGTACTTCTGCATATATTATTTGCATTGTTGTGTAGTCACCAATTATATGGTGTATCAATTGTATTGCTGCCCAATCCTCTTCGGAAGTTTGTGTAACTATCAAACGCACTAGTGGTGCCTGTGTCAGATTAAGCTTATATTGACTTGGGTTAAAGCGATTGAATAACTGTTCTAGAGCCGGTTCAACAGTATCATCTATTATAACTTCATTAAGTAAGGAAGGAACGCGGCGCAAAACAACTTGTGCCGGTTCATTGAGTCCTTCCCAGATGAATGAGGTGCGTAGAATATCGTGTCTTTCTATCACCTGTTGTAAGGTGGAAGTATAATTTTCAATCGCCATCCTATCCACAAATCGCAAACGGGCAACAGACAAGTACGGATCACCTCGTTCGGCGATCATATGATGGAATAAAATGCCCTGTTGTAATGGTGCTAATCCATAAATATCTTGAATATTGGTTATCCCACCGGGCACGTGTGTGACCAATGCATCAATCTCTGTCTGAGAGAGATTAATGAGCGGTAGCATATCCGGAGTAATATTCGTGCAATCTTCGGTAATTAGATTGCTTGGTATGCTTATTTTTTGATAAGGGTTAAGAGTCTCAGCCAGTGCAGCCAAGGAAGGTGCATTAAATACTTCCCGAACCTTGGTGTCTAGTCCAATTTGTCGCAATTTTGACAGCATCTTTACGATTAGGAGAGAATGGCCACCCAATGCAAAGAAATTGTCATTTCGGCTGATTCGCTCAAAGCCCAACAGTTCGCTCCAGATTGTGGCCAGTGTTTCTTCCGTTTCGCCACGCGGTTCTTCATATATTTGACGAGCAAATGCTTCATCGTCCGGTGCTGGAAGGGCACGTCGATCTAGCTTGCCATTTGGTGTGAGTGGTAATGATGATAGACACACATATGCTGCTGGCACCATATAATCAGGCAACAGAGATGCCAGATATCTACGTAGATTATCAGCGAGTGATGCATCTGGATCGGCCACTACATAGGCCACCAGACGGGTATCACTATCGAGCCCAGCTTTCCACGGCTGCACAACAGCTTCCCGCACCAAAGGATGTTCCACTAAACGGGCCTCAATTTCGCCGGGCTCAACTCGGAAACCACGGATTTTTACCTGTTGGTCAATGCGTCCCAGATATACTAAATTTCCATCAGGTAGATAGCGTGCCAGATCACCAGTGCGATACATGCGTGCTGTTGCATTTTCAACAAATGGATTAGGAAGAAAATTGTCTGCGGTAAGTTCGGGTCGGTTGAGGTAGCCGCGAGCCACACCAGCCCCACCAATATGCAGTTCTCCTTCGGCTCCTAATGGCACCGGTTCACCTTGTGAATCCAGTAGGTAAATACGGGTGTTGGCAATGGGGCGTCCTATCGTTTCAATTGGAACATCGTCTGGTTTATATGTATAATAGGTTACGCTATTCGTTTCAGTAGGTCCGTACAGATTATAAAGTTTGATAATTTGAGTTTGCGTTAAAATTCGGTTGATTAGGCGTTCGTTTAATGGCTCGCCTACCATTTGGAGGGTATGAACTGAAGAAGGTAAAGTTCCTACATTTAGTATTGCAGTCAGCGCAGAAGGCACTGTGTTGAACAAAGAAATATTGGGCTGAATTTGTGTAATAGAAAGAGCATCCTGCACGATATGTATCATTTTTCCTACAGACAATGGCGCAAAACATTCGAAAACAGATAAATCAAATCCAATAGAAGTTGAAAATAGGGTATGCTCCAAATCTTCTGCTGTGAACTCTTCCTTACACCAGTTGAGGAAATTTGTGATATTCCTGTGTTCGATCATCACCCCTTTCGGTGTTCCAGTTGATCCAGATGTATAGAGTACAAAGGACAAGTGCGTCAACGTTAGGCCCAGTTTGATTGGATCGGGGTTATCATCATCGGACAATGCGTCAGGCAACGCATCATCCAAGTTGACCACAGGCACCTCATAATCGTTAAGTGCTTTCTGACCAATGGAATCTACCAACAAACAAAGTGGATCCGCGTCCTGTAGAATATTTTTTAGGCGTTGACTCGAGTAAACCGGATCAAGTGGAATGTAGGCGCCGCCAGCTTTTAGAATTCCCAATATAGCTACAAGTAATTTAGTGCTGCGCTTAACACAAAGTGCGATGCGATCATCTGGTTTGACTCCTTTCGCGATCAAGTAGTGTGCTAGTTGATTTGCCTGTGTATTGAGTTCTTCGTAGGTCAAAGTTTCTCCTTCACATTCCACGGCAATTGCTCGACCATTGTATTCTACTTGCTCTTCAAATAACTCATGGAGACAGCAGACATGTGGATAATTAACAGTCGTTCGATTCCAACTATGCAACAGCATCTCTCGTTCTTCCGGCGGCATCACAGTCAATGTCCGTACAGGTTGCTGTGGGGAATGTGTTAATGCGTCACCAAGCGAGACGAGAGCCTGTTGCATATAAGCACAAATCCTTGCTGCTGACAGTGGCGACACTACATCAGCTCTGAGACTCAGTGTATTGTTATCGTCATCCAACGATAAAGTTATTGGGTAATTTGTTCGCGCTTCACTACTGACAATATTCACTCCAACAGGTGGTTGAATGGCATGCTCTGTCTGCGATCTATGGCGATAGTTCAGCAATGCGTTGAAAAGAGGTATAGAAGATGGCACTCTACTACAGCGTTGCGCCAAGGCCAGTGATGCATATTCGTGAGATAGTAAAGCACTCAAACGCGAATGAGCGTTGCGTACAGCGTTTTCGACTGTAGTATCATCGATATCGAGCCGTAAAGGTAGCGTATTTATCAACATACCCACAACACTCTCATTTCCTTCTCCGGACTGTAATCGGCCAAGTAGAACTGTACCGAATACCACTGTTTCGCTTCCGCTAGCACAGGCAAGTACTTGTGCCCAGGCCAAATGACAGAGGCTGGCTAAGCTGACACGGAAATGACGAGCAAGGGCTCGCATTTGATTATTGAGTTCCTGTGAAAGGTTTAGATACGCTTCATTTACTTTGATTCCATCGTCATGAACATCGCTCAAACCGAACGGTAGGGTTGGTGTATCAAGATCAGAAAGCATTTCTCTAAAGAACTGCGTGTGTTCGGATTGACTAACACCTAGACGAGCCTGGGCCACTACATGGCGGAATGGAGTCGGTGTTGTCAAGTGATAACTCTGTCCATTGATAATGGCTTGCACTTCTACATGCAGTCTCTGTAGGGTGGCATGGTCACCAATTATGTGATGCATCAGCTGCAACGCTACCCAATCTCCTTTAGACGTTGAAGCGGCAAATAAACGCAACAGTGGCGCTTGTTTTAAATCTAGACGGTAGTGACGTGGGTTGAATCGATCATTTAATTGTTCTAGAACATGGTCATCAGTATCATTCAGTGTGATTTCGGTGAGCAAAGATGGAACATGACGCAAGACTACTTGTGCCGGTTCACTGATTCCTTCCCAAATGAAGGCAGTACGCAGAATATCATGTCGTTCAATTACCCTTTGCAGCGCGATTGCATAGTTATCAAGTGTCGCACGATCACTAAATTGAAAATGACTCTTTATAATGTACGGATCGCCTTGTTCGACCATCAAATGATGAAATAAGATGCCTTCTTGTAATGGTGCTAATCCATAAATATCTTGAATATTGGATATACCACCAGGCACTTGTTCGACCAGCACATCAATCTCTTGCTGCGATAGATCGATAAGCGGCAACATTTCTGGACTAATAACTGTGCTTTCAACGGTAATCAGATTGGGTGGAGTACTGATTGCTATATGATGGCTCAGAGACTTAGCTAATACAGCTAATGAGGGTGCATCAAATACTTCCCGAACGTTGGTGTCCAGTCCACTTTGTCGCAATTTTGACAGCATCTTAACGATTAGAAGAGAATGGCCACCCAATGCAAAGAAATTGTCATTTCGGCTGATTCGCTCAATACCCAACAGTTCGCTCCAGATTGCGGCCAGTTTTTCTTCCATCTCTCCACGCGGTTCTTCATATATTTGACGAGCAAATGATTCATCGTCTGGTGCTGGAAGTACACGTCGGTCTAATTTGCCATTTGGTGTGAGTGGTAAGGATGATAGACACACATATGCTGCTGGCACCATATAATCAGGCAACAGAGATGCCAAATAAGTTCGCAGATTGTTGGCGAGTGATGCATCTGGATCGGCCACTACATATGCCACCAGACGGGTATCACTATCAATTTCGTCTTTCCAAGGCTGTACAACAGCTTCGCGCACCAAAGGATGTTCAACTAAACGGACCTCAATTTCGCCGGGCTCAATTCGGAAGCCACGGATTTTGACCTGTTGATCAGTGCGTCCCAGATATACTAGATTTCCATCAGGTAGATAGCGTGCCAGATCACCAGTGCGATACATGCGTGCTGTTGGATTTTCGTTGAATGGATCGGATAAAAAGCTTTCGGCGGTAAGTTTAGGTCGGTTGAGGTAGCCGCGAGCTACACCAGCGCCACCAATATACAATTCTCCTTCGGCTCCCAACGGCACCGGCTCACCTTGAGAACTAAGTACGTAAAGTCGTATGTTAGACAATGGACGACCGATGGGTATGGAATGGCTAGAGAAATCTACCGGACACTTCCAGGTGGCAGCCCATACGGTCGCCTCTGTAGGACCGAAAACATTAATAACGTTCGTGTGACTGAAGGCATTTTTTAGTAAAGGTAATGTCATCACTTCGCCACCAAAACACATTGCCTGCATACAATTTAAGTCAGACAGATTTTTTGTGTTCCGGAATGCTGATGGTGTAATATGTGCATGGGTAATCTCTTCAGTTCTAATATATCTAAGGAGAGTGGTATCCGAACGTCGTACTTCTTCGCTTGGTATACAGAGGCAAGCTCCAATCGTTATAGTCACTACAATATCCACAACACTGGCATCAAATGAGTAAGAAGGAAACAACATAAAACGGCTATTGGAAGTCACCCCCAAACGTGGTGGCACAGCTCGAGCTAGATTGATGACAGTGTGATGCTCTACCATTACCCCCTTTGGTGTCCCGGTCGAGCCGGAGGTGTAAATCATGTAGGCTAAATGGTTCGAAGTGAGTCCCAGTTTGATCGGGTCGGGATTATTGGTTGAAAAGCTATGAGTCAATTTTTGATCTAGGTTCACAATTGGTATTTGATGATTTCCAAGTGCTTCCTGACCAGTGGCATCTGCTAATAGATACAGCGGACTGGCGTCCTGGAAAATATATGTCAAACGTTGACTAGAGTAGATTGGGTCGAGTGGTACATAAGCGCCGCCGGCCTTCAAAATGCCTAATATAGCTACAAGCATTTTTGTGCTGCGCTTAACGCAAAGTGCAATGCGATCATCTGGCTTAACACCTTTGGAAATCAGGTAGTGTGCTAGTTGATTTGACTGAGTATTGAGTTCGTCATAGTTCAAAGTTTCCCCTTCACATTCCACGGAAATATTCTGTCCTGCGCGCAATACTTGCTCCTCAAATAATTGATGAAGACAACAAACAGGTGGATAATTGACAGTCGTTAGATTCCATGTATGCAACAGCATCTCTCGTTCTTTGGGCGGCATCACTGTCAATGTTCGTACAGGTTGCTGTGGTGCATTTATTAAAGCATCGACAAGCGAGACGAGAGCCTGTTGTATATAACCACAAATCCTCGCTGCTGACAGCGGCGACACTACATCAGCTGTGAGACTCAGTGTGCTGTCGTCATCATCGAGTGCCAGATTTATTGGGTAATTTGTTCGCGCTTCACAACTGACAATATTCACTCCAGCGAGTGGTTCGATGGCATGTTCTGTCTGCGATTTATGGCGATAGTTTAGCAATGCGTTGAAAAGAGGTAAAGAAGATGGCACTCCACTACAGCGTTGCGCTAACCCCAGTGATGCATATTCGTGAGACAGTAAAGCACTCAAACGCGTATGAGCGTTGCGTACAGAATTTTCAACTGTAGTATCATCGATATCCAGGCGCAAAGGTAGAGTGTTTATTATCATACCCATAATACTCTCGTTTCCCTCGCCAGACTGTAGACGACCAAGTAGCACTGTACCGAATACCACTGTTTCATTTCCGCTAGCACGGGCAAGTACCTGTGCCCAGGCCAAATGACAAAGACTGGCTAGACTGACATGGAAATGACGTGCAAGGGCACGCAATTGATTATTGAGTTCCTGTGACAGCTTCAGGTGCTCATGATCGATCTCAGTTCCATCATCATGAACGTTGCTCAAACCAAACGGTAGGGTTGGTGTATCAATGTCGGCAAGTATTTCTCGGAAGAAGTGAGTGTGCTCAGCTTGACTTACTCCTAGTCGAGCTTGGGCCACTACATGTCGGAATGGTACAGGCTTTGCCAAATGGTCGCCCTTTCCATCGACTATAGCCCGGACTTCTGCATGTAGTCTCTGTTGAGAGGCATGGTCACCAATTATGTGGTGCATCAGCTGCAATGCTATCCAATTTCCTTTAGACGTTGGAGCGGCCAACAAACGGAACAGTGGTGCTTGTTTTAAATTTAGACGGTAGTAACGTGGGTTGAATCGATCATTTAATTGTTCTAGAACATGGTCATCAATATCATCAAGTGTGACTTCGGTGAGCAAAGATGGAACATGACGTAAGACAACTTGTGCCGGTTCACTAAGCCCTTCCCATATGAAGGCGGTTCGCAGAATATCATGTCGTTCAATCACCCGTTGCAGCGCGATTGCGTAGTTATCAAGTTTTTCACGATCACTAAATTGTAAATGACTCATTCTTAAGTATGGATCACCTTGCTCGGCCATCAAATGCTGAAATAAGATGCCTTCTTGTAATGGTGCTAATCCATAAATATCTTGAATATTGGTTAAACCACCAGGCACTTGTTCGACCAGCACATCAATTTCTTCCTGCGATAGATCGATAAGCGGCAACATTTCTGGAGTAATAACAGTGCTTTCGACGGTAATCAGATTGGGTGGAGTACTGATTGCTATATGATGGCTCAGAGACTTGGCTAATACAGCTAATGAGGGTGCATCAAATACTTCCCGAACGTTGGTGTCCAGTCCACTTTGTCGCAATTTTGACAGCATCTTAACGATTAGAAGAGAATGGCCACCCAATGCAAAGAAATTGTCATTTCGGCTGATTCGCTCAATACCCAACAGTTCACTCCAGATTGCGGCCAGTTTTTCTTCCATCTCGCCACGCGGTTCTTCATATATTTGACGAGCAAATGATTCATCGTCTGGTGCTGGAAGTACACGTCGGTCTAATTTGCCATTTGGTGTGAGTGGTAATGATGATAGACACACATATGCTGCTGGCATCATATAATCAGGCAACAGAGATGTCAGATATGTACGTAGATTGTTGGCGAGTGATGCATCTGGATCGGCCACTACATATGCCACCAGACGAGTATCACTATCAATTTCGTCCTTCCAAGGCTGTACAACAGCTTCGCGCACCAAAGGATGTTCCACTAAACGGGCCTCTATCTCGCCGGGCTCAATTCGGAAGCCGCGGATTTTAACCTGTTGGTCAGTACGTCCTAGAAAGACAAGATTACCATCAGGCAAATAACGAGCTAGATCACCGGTGCGGTACATGCGTGCCGATGGTTTGTCACTAAATGGATCGGACAAAAAGCTCTCGGCGGTAAGTTTAGGTTGGTTGAGGTAGCCACGAGCAACACCAGCACCACCAATATACAATTCTCCTTCGGCTCCTAATGGCACCGGTTCACCTTGTGAATCCAGCAGATAAATGTAGGTATTGGCAATGGGCCGCCCTATCGTTTCAATTGTAACATCACCTCGTGTATACTTATGCCAAGTAGAGTAAGTTGTCGTTTCAGAAGGACCATAAAGATTTGATAGTGTTGTTATTTGCGTTTGGGTAAAAATATGGTCGATTAATTTGGAATTTAATGGTTCGCCTGCAATATTGAGGGTACGGAGTGATGATGGTAAGGTTTTCGAATTTAATAGTGTAGTTATTGTAGAAGGCACAGTATTGATTAGAGAAATATTTGACGATACTTGTGTAACACTTAGGGCATTCGCCACGATGTGTATCGTCTTTCCCATTGACAATGGAGCAAAAGCCTCAAAAATGGACAGATCAAAACCAACAGATGTTGAAAATAAAGTATGTTCCAAATCTTCAGCTGTAAAAGTCTCTTTACTCCAATAAAGGAAATTCGTTGCATTTTTATGTTCAATCATCACGCCTTTTGGTGTTCCAGTTGAGCCAGAAGTGTAAATTATATAGGCCAAATGTGATGGAGTGAGTCCAAGTGTGGTCGGGTCAGGATTATCGATTGAAAGACCGCAAGGCAACACCTCATCCAAATTCACCACTGGCACTTGAACATTTCCAAGTGCTTTCTGGCCAGTGGCATCTGCTAATAGATAAAGCGGACTGGCGTCCTGCAAAATGTGTATAAGCCGTTGACTTGAGTAGGCTGGATCGAGCGGTACATAGGCACCACCAGCTTTCAAAATGCCTAATATTGCTATGATCAATTTTGTGCTGCGCTTAACACAAAGTGCGATGAGATCATCTGGTTTGACTCCTTTCGCAATCAAGTAGTGTGCCAGTTGATTTGCTTGGGCATTGACCTCTGCATAACTCAATGTTTCAGCCTCATACTTCAAAGCGATCGCCTTTCCGCTATGCACCACTTGTGCCTCAAATAACTGATGAAGACAACAAGCAGATGGATAATTAACTTTCGTTCGGTTCCATATATGCAACAGCATCTTTCGTTCTTCTGGTGACATCACAGTCAATGCCCGTACAGGTTGTTGTAGTGTGTGTGTTAGTGCATTGGAAAGCGAGACTAGAGCCTGTTGCATATAACCACAAACCCTTGCTGCTGATATAGGCGACAACACTTGGGCTGTCAAAGCCAGCGACTTACTGTCGTCCTCTACCGATAGAACTAATGGATAATTTGTTCGCTCCTCAAAGCCCAGGAATGTGACTCCATTGATCGATTTAGTGACATCCATACTCGGCTGATTATGACGATAATTCAATAGCGCATTGAAAAGTGGCAAATTTGCTGGAACTCCGCTGCAACGTTGCGCCAACGCAAGAGATGCATGTTCATGCTCTAGCAATGCACTCAAACGTGAGTGAGTATGACGCACGGCGCTCTCTACCGATCTTTCATCGATATCCAGCCTAATTGGTAGTGTGTTCATCAATAGCCCCATTGTACTGTTATTCTCTTCGGATTGTAAACGACCGAATAGTACGGTGCCAAAGACAACTGTCTTGTGTCCACTGGTTTTAGCAAGTACTTGTGCCCAAGCCAAATGGCAAAGGCTGGCCAAGCTAACATGTAAATGACGTGCAAGGGCCCGCAACTGATTAATAAGCTCATGTGATAACTTCAGATGCGCTTCATCGATCTCAGTTCCATCGCCATGAACGTCGCTCAGGCTAAACGGCAGGGTTGGTGCATCAACGTCAGAAAGTATTTCTTCGAAGAACTTAGTATGTTCGGCTTGGCTAACTCCTAGACGAGCTTGAGCCACTACATGGCGGAATGGTGTGGATGTTTTCAACTTATCACTTTGTCCATCGATAATGGCCTGCATTTCGACATTCACTCTTTCTAGTGTTGTGTGGTCACTAATTAAATGGTGCGTGAGAATCACTGCCACCCAATTCTCTGCAGACGTTCGAGCGGCAAACACACGCAGCAAAGGTGCTTCGGTCAGGTCTAGTTTGTAATGACGTGGATTAAAGCGGTCGCTTAATTGTTCTACAGTCGATTCTTTGCTTTCATCCAGTTTGATTTCGGTGAGTATCGATGGAACTCGACGCAAAACGATTTGTGCCGGTTCACTGAGTCCTTCCCAGATGAAGGCGGTGCGCAGAATATCGTGTCGTTCAATCACCTGTTGCAGAGCAATGGAAAAACGTTCAAGTGTGGCCCTGTCCATAAATTGTAAGTGATTGACTGTCAAGTATGGATCACCATGCTTAGACATTATATGATGGAACAACATGCCTTGTTGTAACGGTGCGAGACCATAAATATCTTGAATATTGGACACACCTCCTGGTACCTGTGTAACCAATACATCAATCTCAGCCTCACTTAGATCGATAAGCGGCAACATTTCCGGAGTAATCATTGTGTTGTCCTCAGTAATCAGATTGGGTGGAATACAGATATTCTGGTGTTTACGGATAGCCTTCGAAAGTGCGGCCAAGTTGGGAGTATCAAACGCTTCTCGAAAATTGGTGTCCAACCCCGACTGCCTAAGCAATAACTGCATTCGTACAATCAGTAGGGAATGGCCGCCTAATGCGAAGAAATTGTCATGCCGGCTAATACGTTCAATACCCAATAGTTCACTCCATATTGCGGCTAGTTTTACTTCCATTTCACCTTGGGGTGCCTCATACGACTGATGTGCAAAAGCATCATAATCCGGCTGCGGTAGAGCACGACGATCCAGTTTGCCGTTTGGTGTGAGGGGAAAGGCAGACAGACAAACATAAGCTGCAGGCACCATATAAGCGGGCAGTACAGATTCTAAATAGGAGCGTAAATTCTGAACGAGAGATGTATTTCGCTTAGCCACAACATAAGCGACTAGTTGAGCATCAGTATTGGGGCCGTTTTTCCAAGGCAAAACAACCGCTTCGTGCACTAATGGATTTTCAACAAGGCGAGCTTCGATTTCTCCGGGCTCAATTCGGAAGCCACGAATTTTTATTTGTTGGTCGGTACGTCCCATATAAACGAGATTGCCATCAGGTAGATAGCGCGCCAGATCACCGGTGCGGTACATGCGTGCCACTGAATTCTCACTAAACGGATCCGGTATGAACCGTTCGACGGTAAGCTCAGGTCGGTTGAGGTAACCACGAGCAACTCCAACACCACCAATATACATTTCTCCCTCGGCTCCCAATGGAACCGGTTCGCCATGTGAATCGAGTAGATAAATCCATGTATTGGCTATTGGACGACCAATGGGTATCGAATGGCAGGTAAAATCGTCCGAAAATGACCAAGTAGTAACACCAATGGTTGTCTCCGTTGGACCATAACCATTATAAACTTTAGTATGGTTAGAGACAGATTGTAACAACGATAACGAAGGCGTTTCACCGCCCAAAATTAACGCATTCAAGCAAGTTAAATCACTTAGATTTTGTGTGTTTCGGAATAAGGCCGGCGGTAAAAGAGCATGAGTTATCTTTTCAGCGTTCATGTATGCAGTCAAGGAGGTGTCCGTTTGACGGATTTCATCGTTTGGTATGTAGAGGCATGATCCACTTGTTAGAGCCATTGAGATTTCCAATATGCTTGTATCAAAAGAACAAGAAGCAAATTGTAACAGGCGACTCTTATGAGTTATTTCATAAATACAAGTTTGAGATTGAACTAAATTGAGCAGAGATTGATGTTCAATCATCACCCCTTTTGGGGTCCCGGTAGAGCCAGATGTGTAGATAACATAAGCCAGATGCTCAAAATTAATCCCAAGCTTAACCGGATCTGGATTATTTTCTGGCAGGCCATCAGGTAGTGGCTGGTCCAAATTCACCTCTGATACATGATGGGTTCCAAGTGCTTTCTGACCATTCGAGTCGGTCAACACATACAATGGATTGGCGTCCTGCAACATATAATTAATCCGTTGACTCGAATAAGCAGGATCGAGTGGTACATAAGCACCGCCACATTTTAGAATTCCCAATATAGCAATGATCATTTTTGTGCTGCGTTTAACGCAAAGTGCGATGCGATCATCTGGTTTAACACCTTTTTCGATCAAATAGTGTGCCAATTGGTTTGCTTGGGCATTCAGTTCAGCATAGTTCATTGTTTTACTTTCACACTCCACGGCAATCGATTGTCCGTCACGCTTCGCCTGTGCCTCAATTAATTGATGAAGACAACGAACAGGTGGATAATTCACTGTCGTTTGGTTCCATGTATGTAACAGCATTTCACGCTCTTCTGGTGGCATCACTGTCAATGTCCGCAATGATTGTAGAGGTGTGTGTGTTAATGAATCGGCAAGCGAGACGAGAGCCTGTTGCATGTAGCCACAGATTCTTGCCGCTGATATAGTTGACAGCACTTGGACTATAAAACTCAGTGAGTTGTCATTGTCATCTATCGAGAGGATTAATGGGTAATTAGTTCGCCCCTGACCGTCTAGTAAATTTACTCCCGAAATCGACATATTGATCTGTTCGGTCGGCTCATTGTGAATATAGTTTAATAGTGCGCTGAAAAGTGGCAGAGAAGCTGATACACCACTACATCGTTGAGCCAATGCAAGCGATGCATGTTCGTGTGCAAGCAACGCACTTAACCGAGAATGAGTCTTTCGTACAGCACTCTCGCTCGTTGTTTCATCTATGTCCAATCTTAAAGGTAGCGTATTTATCAACATACCCATAACGCTTTCGTTTTCTTCTCCAGCCTGTAAACGGCTGAGTAACACGGTACCAAATACAACGGTCTCGTTTCCACTGACGCTGGCAAGAACCCGTGCCCACGCCAAATGACATAGGCTAGCTAGACTTACTTGCGAACGTCGTGCTTGCTCACGTAATTGATCATTGAGTGTCGGCGGCAACTTAAGACGGGCTTCATCAATTTCAGTACCGTCTCCATGGACATCGCTTAGACCGAAGGGCAATGTGGGCGTATCAACGTCAGCGAGCATTTCGCTGAAGAACTTTGTATACTCGGCTTGGCTTACACCGAAGCGGGCCTGAGCTACTACATGACGGTAAGGTTTTGGCGGCGACAACTGTTCACTTTGTTCGCCGATAATGGCATGAACTTCTGCATTCAATCTTTCTAGAGTTCTATGATCACTAATCAAATGATGCATAAGTAACACTGCTACCCAATCACCCTGAGAAGTTGGTGCAGCCATCAAACGCAATAAAGGTGCATGCATCAGGTCTTGTTTGTAGTATTGAGGATTGAAATGCTTGCTTAATTGTTCTAATACCGGCTCCTTAGTATCATCCAGTGTTATTTCGGTGAGTGGCGGGGAAACGTAACGCAAGACAACTTGAGCCGGCTCACTGAGTCCTTCCCACAAAAAGACAGTGCGCAGAATATCGTGTCGTTCTATCACTTGTTGCAAAGCGGCAGCATAACTATCAAGTGTTATCTTGTTTTTAAATTGCAGACGAATGAGCTGCAGGTACGGGTCACCAAGTTCAGCTATCATATGATGGAACAATATACCTTCCTGTAATGGTGCCAATCCATAAATATCTTGAATATTAACCAATCCACCTGGCACCTGTTCGACCAACGCATCAATCTCCGTCTGAGTTAGATCGATAAGCGGCAACATGTCCGGTGTAATCTTCATGCAATTTTCGGTAATCAGATTGGGTGGAATACTGATTTTCTGGTATTTACCAATAATCTTAGCTAGTGCGGCTAATGAGGTACTATCAAACACTTCTTGAACACAGGCATCTAATCCGACTTTCCGCAGTTGTGTTAGCATACGTATAATCAACAGTGAATGTCCTCCCAATTCAAAGAAATTATCGTTCCGACTGATACGTTCAATACTTAGCAGCTCACTCCATATTACAGCTAGTTTTTCTTCAATTTCACCCTGCGGAGCTTCGTATGACTGGTGAGCAAATGCTTCATCGTTCGGAGGCGGCAAGGCCGAACGATCTAGCTTACCGTTTGCTGTGATTGGCAAAGAGGAAAGACACATATAAGCTGCCGGCACCATATAATCAGGCAATAAGCTAGTAAGATATGTTCTTAAATTCTGAGCAAGCGATATATTCGAGTCAGCAACTACATATGCTATCAGACAAACGTTAACATCAGGACCGTTTGTCCATGCTTGTACAACGGCATCACGTACCAGTGGATGTTCAACGAGACGCGCTTCAATTTCTCCAGGCTCAATTCGAAAACCTCGTATTTTCATTTGGTGATCTATGCGACCTAAATAGACCAAATTGCCATCAGGCAGATAGCGTGCTCGATCACCAGTACGGAACATGTGTGCCGATGGATTCTCACTGAATATATCCGGAAGAAAACGTTCCGCGGTAAGTTCCGGTCGATTTAAGTAGCCGCGAGCTATAACAGCGCCACCAATATATAGTTCTCCTTCGGCTCCAAAAGGAACTAGTTGGCCATGTGCATCTAATAGGTAAATGCGAGAGTTGGAAATAGGACGCCCTATTGTTTCAAAAGCATGATCCCCGGGTTTATATAGATGAAAAGTTGCATAAGTCGATTCAGTCGATCCATAGAGGTTATATAATTTTTTGATTTTTGTGTGTGTAAAAATGCGATTGATTAGGCGTGTGTTTAGCGGCTCTCCCACCACACTGAGTGTGCGGAGTGAAGATGGTACAGTGCCCGCATTTAGTATTGCATTTACGGCAGAAGGTACAGTATCTAGTAGGGAGACGTTGAATGGTATATTTGTAATGGCGAGTGCATTGGCAACGACATGTATCGTCTTTCCCATTGACAACGGAGCAAAACATTGAAAAACGGATGGATCAAAACCGACAGAAGTTGAAAACAATGTATTCTGGAAGTCCTCAGTCGCAAACGTCTCTTTACACCAGTCAAGGTAGTTTGTTACTTGCCGATGTTCAACTAATACCCCTTTTGGTATTCCGGTCGTTCCGGAGGTATAAACTATATAAGCCAAATGTGCCGAAGTAAGTCCCAGTTTAGCTGGGTCAGTATTGTCGGCCGGAAAAATATCTAGCAACGCTTCATCCAAATCTAGCACTGGCACTACATGATCTCCAAGTGCTTCCTTACCAATGCAATCTGCCAATAAATACAGTGGATCAGCATCCATGAGAATATTTGTCAACCGTTGACTTGGGTAGGCCGGATCAAGAGGAACATAAGCACCGCCAGCTTTTAGAATGCCCAAAATGGCGACGAGTAGTTTTGTACTGCGCTTACCGCAAAGTGCGACGGGATCATCTGGCTTGACGCCTTGTGCAATCAAAAAATGTGCTAGCCGGTTAGACTGTGCATTGAGTTCTTCATAACTTAAACTTTCATCACCACACTCGACGGCAATCGCTCGTCCATCGCGTTCTACTTCTGCCTCAAATAACTGATGAAGACAGCGATCAGATGGATAATTAACTTTCGTTTGGTTCCAAACATGCAACAGCATATCACGTTCTTCTGGTGGCATCACTGTCAATGTTCGTACAGGTCGCTGTGGTGTGTGACTTAATGCATCAGCAAGTGAGGAGAGGGCCTGTTGCATATAACCACAAATCTGTGCCGCTGATATTGGCGACAACACTTGGGCCGTTAGAACCAACGCCTCACTGTCGTCCTTCACCGATAGACTTATTGGATAATTTGTCCGCTCCTCACCGCCCTGGAATGTAACTCCATGCATCGGTGTAGTGACATCCATACTCGGCTGATTATGACGATAATTCAATAGCGCATTGAAAAGTGGCAAATTTGCTGGAAGTCCGCTGCAACGTTGCGCCAACGCAAGAGATGCATGTTCATGCTCTAGCAATGCACTCAAACGTGAGTGAGTATGACGCACGGCGCTCTCTACCGATCTTTCATCGATATCCAGCCTAATTGGTAGTGTGTTCATCAATAGCCCCATTGTACTGTTATTCTCTTCGGATTGTAAACGACCGAATAGTACGGTGCCAAAGACAACTGTCTTGTGTCCACTGGTTTTAGCAAGTACTTGTGCCCATGCCAAATGGCAAAGGCTGGCCAAGCTAACATGTAAATGACGTGCAAGGGCCCTCAACTGATTAATAAGCTCATGTGATAACTTCAGATGCGCTTCATTGATCGGAGTCCCGTCGCCATGAACGTCGTTCATACCAAACGGAAGGGTTGGTGTATCAATGTCGGAAAACATTTCACTGAATTGCTTTGATAGTGCCAACCCATAAATGTCTTGAATATTAGCTATACCACCCGGCATCTGAGCGACTAATGCATCAATCTCTTCCTGAGTTAAATCGATAAGCGGCAACATATCCGGAGTAATCATTTTGCTGTCTTTAGTAATCAGATTGGGTAGAATACTGGGTGCCTTGTAGTGGACGAGGGTTTTTGAAAGAGCGGCCAAGTTGGGCGTGGCAAATATTTTTCCGAAGCTAGTGTCCAACCCGGCTTGTCGCAGTTGTTTCAGCATTCGTTCAATCAGAAAAGAGTGGCCACCCAATTCAAAGAAATTGTCGCGTCGACTGATGCACTCAATGCCTAGCAGCTCACTCCAGATTGCAGCTAGTTTTTCTTCCATCTCTCCTTGCGGTGGCTCATATACGTTACCATTGGTCGTCAAAAATTCACCATTAGAAAGTTTCTCCATCTTACTTTGCATAGTTACAGCGTCGAATTTATTCGGCTCTTTTACACAAATTTCACAAATCTACAAAAGTAAATTCGAGAGAATAAGATTCACGCGTTATTACGGTGAATAAGTTACTCTACATATATTATATCCCATATATTGCATTTTGTTGATTCGAAAATTTATTTTCTTACAAAATACATAGTCTCACCAAATTGGAAATTTTAATCAAAATTAAGGGTATCCCCCATCCAAAATGTTTGATTTTTGTCTCGATTTGAGGAAAATTGAAAAATTTTTGAAGAAAAGTGAATTTTTCCATTTATCTAAAACTTTGTAAAGTTGCGCTTAGCACCCAAAACTTTATCAGTGTAATCTTTTTGACAAAAACAACATGCAAACGTCACTTGCAGGTGGATACCATTACTAGTCAGATGAATATTGAATAATTCACGAAAATTGAAGAAGTTTTCAACAAATGTAGATAACAATTTTCTAAGTGTCACTCAACGTCTTGTAAATTGACATACAAACAAAATCACCGACACATTTTGAACAAAATTTAAATATTTTTAAAATAAAAATGGTTTACCTGAGTTGTAAAAAAAAAGATTGATCACGTAAAAACAATACACTTTTAGTTTCTTCAAACTGGTATCGGGAATGAAGGAAGAATATTCGGAGATTACTACTTTTATACACCCAATTTTAAACGAACATTATTTTTGGTTTTCTTCATAAGTATGAGACTTCTGTAAAAAAATAAGCATGCCAATTAATTTTATTATAAACGACTATCACAACCAATTAAAAACACACAAATTCTGACGTATTTTTAACTTAATTATTATTTTATTATACATTATTCAGCAAAAACAAATTACAGAAAGGTATGATGACGTCTGAAAACTTCATTACACAAATATTATTTTTGCTTTTGTTTATTATCGTATAATAAATGCTTTTTTTGGATGATTGACCGCTGCTCCCACAGTTTATTGGCAAGGTGCAATCATCAATTATGAATAAGTTACAAATTATAACACCATATCTTTTTGTAAATTTGTATGACGTTTTCTCATTGTAAATATCTTGAATAATTATATCAAAAAATTACTGAAAAGTACAGTGGACCAAAAAGAGAAGTATTCAATTTTCAACATTCCAGGTTGGTTTTATTATTCCGTAATTACGTTACAACAAATATTGATTTATTGCATTTTGTTGATTCGAATTTCATTTGATGTATTTCACTATACAGGAAAGCTTATTGATAACTATATCCAACTACAATTGATATCTTTGCCACATTGTTCCCCAATTAACAGGAACTCTCATAAGTTTTACTTTTCCGCACACCCACTGCGTGCGGTAAAGTATTGCAATCACAAAAAGTATTGCAATCATATGCAAAAATTTGTTTATTCGATAAATCTTTCCCCAAAGACGCAAATTAAAGTTTGAAATGTGTACTGGTAGTTTTTTGGCACGAGAAAACCAAATCCGGTGTGAGTTTTGAGATACAATTAAGTTTTAACAGAGTTTTTTTGAAAAAAAAAAAAAAAAAAATGAATTTTTGTTTGGGAGCCATGATTTTAGGCTGCCGTAATGACGTGAAACTTTGTACAGGCTATTTTTTACACAATAAAATAACATTCTGAAGGTTTGAAATAATTTCATTCAAAATTAGGAGTACCTCCCATAAAAAATTTCGTTTTTGTGCCAAAAATCGAAAATGTTGTATGGGAAGTACCCCTACTTTTGAATGAAATTATTTCAAATTTGGTGATATTATGTATTTTGCTAGGGGCTTAATTCAAAATTTTCAACGACTGAATTCTATAATAATATCTAAATTAACTGAATTCCGTTGAATTCTACGGCGATTTCATTCAAATATGTGAGATAGTGGTGAATAGTTTCTGCTGGCAATTACTGCAATATTTATATTTTGTGTAACAAAATTGTAAATGTTTTTTATATTTTTTTAATAAAAATTAATTTTATTTTCAATTTTGAGCGATTTTCTATCGAAAACAATCGGAAATATTGAAAAAATAATAAATTAAAAAATATTGCGGTTATCATAACCTTACTTTATTAATTTGACACATTTCATTCTATTCACACGAATTCACCGAACTCATCAATAACCACTCGATTCAAAAGTGTGAATTTACGTGAATTCCTGTGAATTTTTTTGCCGTATAACCCCCTAGGTATTTTGGCACGAAAATAAGATTCACAAGTTTCCACTGTGATTAAGTCATGTAGTTATGGCGTCGGATGTAAGTTCCTTTTTATTTTAATTGAACGATTCAAGTGAAGTTGATAATTTGATAGCTTTCTTGTTGATTTC